ACACACACACACACAGGGAGGGAGAGGCAGAGAAAGACAGAGAGACAGAGAGACACACGCATTACACACACAGAGCGGGAGAAGGGGGAGATCGACAGACACAGAGACAGAGACAGACAGAGACAGAGGCAGCCTGACAGACACAAAGATACACACAGAGGGACAGAGATAGAAAGAAGGAGATACACCGAGAGGTAGAAAGATTGGCAGGGGAGAGTGAGAGAGATAGTGACAGAGATAGAAGAGAGCAAAGAGGGAGGGAGAAAAGAGAGCCTAGCCAGAGGAGAGAGGAGAGAGAGGATAGACAGAAGAGAAAGAGAAGAGCGATGAGACGGGGGGGAGGATAAAGAGAGTCGAGCGGGGCCACGAGAACAGAAGGAAGAGTGAAGAATAAGAGAAAGGGAGAGAAGAGAGATGGAAGAAAAGCGAGCCAAGAGGGGCTGAAGAATTGAGGCAGACGGACAGAGAGGGAGGAAGGGAGGAAGGAGGAGAGAGAGGAGGGGAGAAGGCAGTGGACAGAAACTGGGCTTTTGAACCCCGCGGCCGGCCAGGCTCAGAGAGGGGCTTGCTCGCCGGCTCCCCGGGAGCTGACCTCCTCCTGTCCCCCAGACTGAGAAGTCCGAGGAGGCGGCAGGACAGCCGGAGAGGAGAAGGGGGGCGGGGGCGGGGCGGGGGGGGGGGGGGAGGAGGGCCTGGGGGGGGCGGGGAGGGGCCGGTCCCAGGCGGGGGCCCGGGCCGGCCGCAAGAGGTGGGGGGGGTGGGGGGGAGGGACGGGCGCGGCTGGAGCCCGCCTCCTGGAGGCCGGGACGGACTGACGGGTGGACGGACTGACGGACCGGGGGGCAGCCCTGCTGACGGCCAGGGCTCAGGGGAGGGATCGGGCGCTCTGATGTGGGGCTTTGGATCGGGGCGGTGGCTTAGCGGGGCGTAGAAGGCGGGGGGGGGGGGGGGGGGGCGGGGCGGGGGCCAGGGCTGGGGGACAGGTGACTTTGAAGGTCGCTGGGAAGTGAGGGGAGAGTCACCTGATCGGGGCCGAGGGAGCCTCCCTCACCTCCGAGGCGGCGGGCAGGAAGCTGGCAGATGCGAGGGACGCGGGCACGGGAGGGCGCAGCCGGCCGGGGGCTGCCTTAGTCCGGAGCTGCGGCGGGCGGGCCAGCCCTCCCCACTTTGCTCCCCGCCGGGGCCGTGGCCGGGGTTGCCGGCAGCCTCCGCTATGTCCCAGCCCGCCGCCGCCGCCGCCGCCGCCGACAGGATGCACTCCAAAAAGGCGGGGATCCGAGCCGCCGTGGTGCTCATTGGGCTGCTGCACAAGTCGCGAAAGCAAAATAAAGCGAAAAGGTAAAGAAGGCGAAAGCCCTCCTCTCCCTCTCTGCTCCCCCTCCCCCAGGCTGACTCGCAGGTTCCTGATTTTGTTTTTCTTTAAAGTCATCTTTTCTTTTCCAGCTATGTGTGTTTATTGGGGGGGGGGGGGCGCAGCCCCCTCTGTGCCGTTCGTGGCATCACTGGAGCCTCTGGGCTGGCCATTGCCTGGGGGGAGGAGACCTTAGGGAGAGGGGAGGAGTGGGTGTCCCGCTTAGGCAGCGGGAAGGAGGTTTGAGAGGGAGAGCCCTGGAACTGGCACCCCCAAGTTTTCCCCTTTGGCCTCTTGTACCCCCATTCTCTCTCAGGGTTTCCAGTGCCCTTTCTCCGAGCCTGCAATGTGGGGGCATTGATCAGGTGCCCGTATTAGTGCCAGGCACTGTCTCTTGCCCAGAAGCCTGATTCAGGGGATGCCTTGATGATGCCATTATTTCTCAGCGACTTGATTTTTAGGAGAGTTGCTGGCTGAGGATCTGATCGTCATCTGTGCAGCCCCGACAGAGGGGAAGTTGTCATGTTGGTTCTGTCTTTGGGGCTCTCCCTCACTCTGCATCTCCATCTTGGGCTCTGGAAGCCTCTGCCCCTAACTCTCTGTCCCTGCTGATTGCCGTTTTTCCCTAGTGTGGCAAAACAGTCTTTCTTTTCTTTTCTTTTTCCCTCTCTACCTCGGGGAAGGTCTCTGCTACTTCCACCGGTTGGAGCTGTCTGAGAACACCCCCGATAGGGTGGGGAGATGGAGATTGGAGTGCAGAGATCTTGGAATCACGGAAAGCCTCTCCCTGCCTTTGGCTTTCTGGAGTGGAGTGCTGATCTGGGTGCCAGGCCTGAGCTCAAGGGCCCTAAAAAAGAGGAGATGTTAGCTCCGATCTGGCCTCCCTGGGTCAACTCCCCCCTCCTCCAGACCGTTCTGAGTTAACTACCCATGTGTCTTTGGGGATGGGAACACAAGAATTTCAGTTCCTATATTTGAAACTTGGCCTTGTGGAGGAGACACATCCTGGTGCCCCTGAGGTGTGGCTCAGTGCATTCTCACTTGCCTGGGGTCAGTTGTAGTTTGGGATGAAGTGCCTTGTGATTGGCACTTTTCCTTTGTAAAGGACCAGGGCTGAACTGGTTACCAGTGGAGAGGCAGCTTGATGTAATGGGTACAGTACAGGACTGAGAACCAGGAAGACCTGGGTTCAAATCCTGCCTTTGTTACTCACCAGTTGTGCGACCCTGGCCAGGTGACTTCATCTCTCTCAGCCTCAGTTTCCTGATTTGTAAAATGAGGGAGTTGGATTAGATAGGCTCTTAAGTCCCTTCCAGCCCTAAATCTATGTTCCTGTGATCCCTCTGATGCCTTCTTTGGGATTTATTAAACAGAGGCAGTTTGGCTCCCCAAACCACGGCTGTTTTCCAAAAGAGGGGCGGCAACATAGAATAGAAATTGAGTCTTCCAGCAAGATTCTGACCCGGCACCGTCTGCTGTGAGTTGTTCCCTCTTTGTCCTGGGGGAGGCAGTGTTATCCAGTAGAGAGCCCTCCCAGCTTCCACTGGGAGACCTGGCTCTTCATTCCTCGGATAGTCCTGCCGTGATGACTTCTTTCTGTCCTTCTATCTAGCATGGGGATGCTAATAGTCAATGTGCTTCCAATGATGAAAGGATCTGAAATACTCTGAGTGTCTCCTAGGCAAAAAAGTAGCCACTGTTATTAGTTTGGGTCACGCACAGTGGCAAGAGCCCTGGACCAAAAGTTAGAAGACCTGGGCTCTAATCCTAACCCTGCTACTAACTCTTTGTGAAACCTGGTCGTGTCTTTCTCAATTTCATCTCAGTTTCCTCAT